AGGTGGTTCTCTATGAGATCAAGGCCAGGCTGGTCTACATAGTGAGATCCAGGCCAGCTGGCACCACAGGAAGACCCTGTCTCAAGAAAAGAAAAAAGAAAAAAATATACCATGTTTAAATATAATTAAAAAACTGTGGGCCAGATAGACAAACTGTATCCATAAGAAAATTACTACCGGGTAAAAGACCTGTGGAGAATAGGCTGTGAAACCCCTGGACTCATTACTGGCTTTTCCCCACACTGGGCAATGATGATGGATATTGTTGGTGTTTAGAGGAGCCTGGAACCTGGTTGCCAGCAACTCTGCCACTTCTGAGGTGTCCCCCTGGGGCGAGCTACTGAAGTCCTGTGGCAACTAACTCTTCATCTTTTTAAGGAGACAAATGACAAATTATTTCCTGTGGTTGGTATGATATGCAAGAAAAGCAAACTGGTAAGACACTTAGAATAGTTCCAGGCACACAGGAGGAGCTCAATGAAGACCTTCACCACGTCATAGACATCCTGCCAGGTCCTCTGGACACTTAGACACCTGGTTCTCAGTACAAACGGGTGGGCTGATCTGGACCATACAGGCCTTCGAAAGCCACGTCAGACAGTGCATTCTATACGAATACTGGACGAGAGGAACCCACTGGTGACGTCACTCACCGCAGATGGCCAGGCTTCCATCTAGACTCATCCCTTCTCATCATTAACATCTACTTGGAAAAGATTTTATTATGTTTTAAGTTTGTGTGTGTGTGTGTGTGTGTGTGTGTGTGTGTGTGTGTGTGTGTGTTCAGAGGATATCTTGAGAAAGTCAGTTCTCTCCTTCCACAATGTGTGTTCCAGGGATCAAACTCAGGTTATCAGGCTTGGTGGCACTGAGCCATCTCACCAGCCGAATGAACTCGTGTTTCTTTTTTGTTTGGGGGAGGGGGTGCTGTTTGAGACAGGGCCTCATGTACCTAGGCTGGCTTAATCTTATTATGGCCAAGGATGGTCTTGATTCCCGTTCCTGCTGCCTGCACCTCCCAGGGGCTGGGATTACAGGTATGGACAACCATGTCCAGTTCTGGTACTCAGGATCAAGCACAGGGCTTCATATATGCTAGACAAGCATTCTACCAGAACCAAACTACATCCCAAGTCCTAAACACAATTGATACTCTACAACACCCTGACACACAAACTAGACCACATTACGTTAGATATGACTGATTGATACGTAGCTGTATGTGAGGTCCATGAAGAAGGCTTTGGGGCCCCCACCCCTGCCAGTACCTACATCGTTATAGGCTCAAGTCCACCATATAAGATGCCACAGTATTTTCATAAAATCTACACACACCCTTTCATGTCCTTTAAACCATCTCTAGATTACAGTGTTTTCATAAAATCTACACACGCCCTTTCATGCACTTTAAACCATCTCTAGATTACATATAATGGAACTGTTGAGGAAACATCTGCTATACGGTTTTGTTTAGGGAGTAAAAATGGAATTCTCCACATGCTCAGTGCTGGCACAATCCAACGCGGTGGGTGTGAGGAGACGGGGCAGAGACACAGCCTGTAGTCACAGATGCCATGGTCAGTATAGCCTGTTGTCAGAGATGATGTGGTCAGTACAGACACACATCTGAGTACATCACCTCTGCAGTGCTCGGAACCATACGTGCCCAGGATCCAACCACTGGGAGTCTCTCTGTGCCCACCTTGTTTTCCACAGAGCCACAGGTCATTGCCTTGCGCACGTGCAGCTGAGAGCTCTGAGTCAGCAGCATTTAGCTCTGGGTGTAATGGAAAAATCTCAGGCCAAGGTCCCGCCCAGGCCAACTGAGTCAGGACCTGAGCAACTGTGGTGTTCAAAGTCCTCCCAGAGATTCTCCAAGGCAGGCACATTTTCTACAGTGTGCTGACAGAGACATTAGTCATCTCGTTCACATTTACCCAGTCAGAAGCGCATCTCCAGGGCCGGACAGGGACAGTAGAGGAGGAGAGCGCACAGACCACCCAGATCACAGTTAGGAGCATCTGCTCCCTGTGGAGAGGGAGTGAAATGGCTCATGGACCAACCACGGTTAAGGCCTGGCAGGGGTTGAGGGCACTCACTTCTCTCACCTCCCTCTCCAGCTCTGCCATCCACACCTGCCTTTACCTGGGTCACACAGTGGGTGGTTAGTGTTAGATGTCAACTTGACAGAATCTAGAATCATCTGGGAGATGGGCCTCTGGGCATGACTGGAGGGTGGGGATGAGTATCTTGATTACATTAATTGATGTGGGAAGACTCAACTTAATTGTGGGTGGGATAATTTCCCCAACAGGAGACCCTGGACTGTATGAAATGGAAAAAGAGCCAAGTACTAGTATGAATCCACTGTGCTCTGTTCCGGACTGTGGAGGCCGCATGACCAGCTCCTTCAAAACTCCTGCTGCCTTTACCTTCCCACCATGCCAGACTTACTGTGCCTTGAGCCATGAGTTACAATAAACCCATCCTTCCTTAAGTGGCTTTTGACTGGCTAGTTCATCACAGCAACAGGAAAAGAAACAAAGACACATGGGGTCCTGCGGTCCCATGGTGTCCTGGGATTCCGGGATCTTGGGGGTGGCACCCCAGGCAGATCACCCAGCATCTCAGCTGTACTTTAACTGCAGTTAATGTGCAAACTGATGAGTCAGCAGGCCGACAGATCAGAGTCTGTGCTCTGCAAGGGTGGTGCCTGTTCTTCAGAGGAAAGTTCATACAGAGTTAATTCCTACTCATTCTCCACCTTGACCTGTAAGAGCAATTCAAACTGGAAAGTGATGCATGGCTTTAAATCTGACAAGTCGTGGATCACTGCTTCAGGAATTCTAAACATTTCAAATGTATGCTGTGCTTTCTTACAGTCATGACCCTGGTGAAACTACGTTCTGAAATTCCTACATGTGGAGTTAGAGGCACAAAAGATGGACTATTCAGTTTTGATCATTTGATGTTTGACTGAAAGAACATCTATGCCCTTCTGAAGTAAATGCATCTCATGAGTCTTGCACAGGTAACAGAATTCTTTCTGAAGGTTGCTCTTTCCAGAAACCGGCTGTTTTCCTCTCCCCCATCATAAGCCAGACACTGGGGCCTCCAGTTGACACACCTCTTTTTAGCCTGTGTGAAAGTTGAAAAAAAGCTACACAGAATACCACATGCCTAGCACCTAAATTCGACAATTAACTTTTTTCAGTGCAGTGAGTGAGGGAGATGGCTTAGTGGACAAAGCGCTTGGTGCACAACTGTGAGGACCAGTTTGGATCCCCAGCACCCATGTAAAAGTCAGGAGGCACGGTGGCCACTCTGCAGTCCCAGCACTCGGAGGCAGAGATGGGTGGTCCTTGAAACAAGCCGGAAGGGCCAGACCAGCAAGCTCTGCGTTTGGGGAGTGACCCTGCCTCAATAAACAGAGAGCAGTCAATAACGACTGGTGACAACAACACTGGGTCTTCACAGGCACACAGTGACACATGTGGACACACGTACACACACAGACACAAGAAAACATGTACTCTCTGATCCTTGCTTCATCTGTCCCTATCCCTGGAGATGAACCATGTGGAAATACATAGGTGTGTTAATTAGTTGATTCCTGAAAAACCTGAAGAAGGATTCCATCAGAACAGAGACTGTCCTGTGTAAGGTCAAGGCCAGCATCACAGCTGAGAGAGAATTATCCAGCACGTCCTCAGGCACACTTTCCATTCTTTTCACAAATCAGTTGAGTGCCCTCCATTCTGAGTGTGGCTTGGTAACAGCCACCAGGCAAGAGGCGAACCAGCAGGGCAAGGGGGCACTGTCAAGACTTGTGTGCTGCTTTAGTTCCGCTGCAGGAAGTGGTGAAAGGGATGGCTGGTGGTGCTGGTGGTAGAGAATATCTCAGTTCTAGCTCTGAAACAAGCACCCAGCCAGAAACACAGGCCATGATTACATGTAATCGGGCGTCCCTCACTTGTTTTATAGGACTATGAAGTGGCACGGACCCCCCCCCAGGGAGTTTCCTTTGGTCTGTTGTACTGTTAAGTTTGGTGGGTACTACACTCTTATCTTACCAAGGCATCTACTAGCATCTCATCCCGGTGGGAACATGAAAACAGCACGTGATCAGACAAAGCCGCACCACGCACACAAGAGCCTAGCTTTGTTTTCTGAGACAAGGCGTCTCTCGCATACCCACCTAAAATGCATGACATACTTCTGCACGATAGTCATTTCTCAAAGTTGTTTTAATGTCTGACCAGATACTAAACAACCTCCGTATTTCCCTCTGTAAGGCCTGTTTGCTAAGAATGTTCTAGATAGTGTACTGTAACATTCACTGCAGGTCATTGTGAAGTACAATGCCTACCTGTGGGTGACTTCCACATCTCCAGACAAAAGACTGATAATTCATCATTGAACTCTAGCTTGCGTGGGACTGCCACTCGTCACCTTGTGTGGTGATTCTGTGTGGGATTATTTCACCACTGATTGACATTGCTCACATGCCACAATCCATCTTTCAGTGAGTTTTATGATCCAAACAGTTTCGTCCATCAGCAGATCACTGCTGTGTACATTTGAAATCAGGCACTGTGAGTATTGAGACATTTTTCTAGCAACATCTTGAGTCCATGGACAGCAGGACTCTGATGCTGGGCCTTCTTACATCATCAACCCAATTCCTACGCCACCATAAGCACTGAAGGAAGAAACCTACACAAACACTGAATCAATCTAGCAGATAATCTGGGGGAAGAAAGAAAATATGATCACGCCTTGACAAGGCTCATCACAGGCAGCTCTGAGACACAGAATCAAAAACACAGCCAATCTAATCTGTAACTGCTCGTTATAAACCATTCTAGCCAATTCTGATGCACATATACACTTTGCTTAGCAAACATTCATGTGAATAATGGCAGTAACATTAACAGTTCTGATCAACTCTCCCTAAAGAAAACAGAGAACACATTTGACCTAGAGATGAGAAAGGGTACCTTTTCTAGGGCCTCCCGAGTTCCCCTCTGTGGGATGTGAGGGACTCGCTTGCAAAAGAGAGAGACATTCTGATTATAGAACAGTCAAGGCTTTTAGCTGGCCAGTACCCACAAATTCACAAATGCAAAACCAAACATGCAAATATATTTTTTGTTGTTCTAGGATAAAAAGCTTGATTGAACCACGTGAATGGAAGCTTAGCAACCAGAGAACAAGAGTGCGTACCTGCTCTTTGGACGGCACAAGAAGTTCCTCGATCATCATGCTGTCCCGAGCGTAGGAGCTTCTGTTCAAGGTGTAGGACCTATCCGAACTGAAGGAGCGGAGGCTGTTGTATTTACAGTTACCCATCAACAGTGGGAGGTGATGATGAGATGAATGAAAGAAAATTAATGCATGCGACTTTAAAAACAGGCAAGATGGCTAAAAATATCAACAAATCTGTTTTTCATTTTTTAAGACATCATCAAAAGTAAAATCCTTGACATCCAAGGACACACTTTATACATACTAACTCTCATGATTGAGATTTTTAAATGAGGCCAATTTGGAATCGATGTGTGAGTTGAAATGCATGGGGACAGTGGATGTTCCACTGTAAGGCTTAGTCAACACGACGTGGGGAGGAATCTCTGCCTGACAATTGGTTCTTTCAAGGAGGCCCCAGTGTGAGGAGCTGCCTCTCTTTCAGGTCCACCTTCACCTGCCTTGCACAACCCAATGGAACTGTGTCCGGCATGACATGTTGGTCAAGTCTTTGCAAACCATCTGTGGGTTTAGCATGTGGACAGCTCTAGTGTGTAGTTGACACTCAAGGAAAATTTCAAGAAGGAAGAAATGAGCCTATTCGCGAGTCCCCTGTCATCTTCCTGGCCTTGAGAAGACGTTCAAAGGCCCTGTGCTCTCTTCTGGCTTCCTGCAGACACCCTGGTTGCACTGGCTCTACGTGTTTCATCCTTACTTTAGTCACTGTTTCCCTTCTTAGACTCTCTCAGCTCCTCCACACACAGCCCTGAACTCAGCAGGGTGCACTGCCCACAGATGTACTGACTTTTAGTCCAAAACCAGTAGATTAAGGGACTTATTAACATTGTAACTATCCATGTAAGTCATGCAAAGGTTACAATTCATCTGAGTCTTGGATTAACGACTTTGCAGTCCTCTGGGAATGAGGAGGATGGTGGCTGTGAGGATCTGCTCTGGAACCCCCACCCCAACCTCAGCTGGCAGGCTGTCAGAAAAGAACACGCTCTCATCTCTTTGCGATGAGGCTTCCCATCTTGTCCTTGAAACACAGCTACAGAATATGAAACGGCTCAAGGGCAGCCTAGACTTGACTCCCAGCAACGAAATATCCCCAATTAGCATTAGAACACAGCCCTTTGATTTTGGGGTCCTTTTTGGTATAGGAATGAGGACTACGGGCAATCAATATTCTTTTCACTGCCCACTTAACTGATAAGCCAGACCTAACCGGCTTGTGTCTTCACCAGTTGGACCAATCAGACCTCGGCATTGGCTTTGCCTTGTGTCTGTGAATGGGAAGACAGCACAGACGTGAACAAGGAAGGATGGCTCTCTCTGCACAGGACCATCTCTCTGCCTCACCGAGCACTGTCTTAAACATTACTCGAAATGGATGCAGCCTCCTTTATGATCTTATACACATTATTCCGAGTACCTTCGTGGAAGTGTAGGGGCATTCCTTTAGGACTGCAGCTCAAAAGTAACCACATTTCTATGGTCATTGTCAAACATGCTCAGCAAATATTTGTTGACTCTGAGAAGCACTGTCCAGGTATGGAGGGGCTTCCCCAGCAGGAGGCCAGGCATATGGTCCCAGCTCCCTCTTTCCTCTTCTTTCAGTCACTCTGTGCGATTCTTTTCTACCTTCTTTCTATTCAATCAGTGAACACGTCCCTCAAGCAGGAAGTCTAAGTCAACCCTGTCCCGTCCTGTCCGACGCTGGTGATGGGCTGGAGTTGGACTGTACAGTATCAGTGGCCAGAGGTCCATGTGGCTTCTGAGCACTTGGACTGTGGATCTCACAGCTCAAGAATCGCTTTAAAGTACACCAGATTTTAACTAATTTGGATATAAAGATCCACAGTGATGGGTGGCCAACCTAACTGTCGGTGTCCTTTCTGAACACGTGTAACCCCAATCTATTCTGCTCCACTGATGGGATTCCAGGGGTACCGGGAGCCCCACTTCCTGCCTCTCTGAACCACACTTTTTCCCCTTCATATTGGGATTGGCACCTTCGACACATTAACAGTAGACACTAGTTTTATTGCTTAAGTGGGCAAACATTTCAAAGTTTTTAAAAGAGGTTACATATTCATTTTAATGTCAGTTTTTTATTTTATGTATTATTTCGATTTTACGTGTATGAGTGTACTGCCTGCGCGTATGTAAGTGCGCCCATGTTGTGCAATGCCTGCAGAGGTTAGAACAGAGTGTTGAATTCCCCTGGAACTGGAGTTATAGACAGTTGTTAGCTGCCATGTGGGTGCTGGGAAATCAAACCCAGGTCCTCTGCAAGAGCAGCCAGTGCTCTTATCTACTGAGCCATCTCTCTCTCCAGCCTCTTAATTTCAGGTTTTAAACATAGCTAAGATTTGTTGATACTGTCAACATCCTCTCCTTCTTATTTGTGAGTGACAACAGCAGAACAGAGCTGAGACTTGGGAGCTAGGCACAGCAGGGCTCACGTTGTGAACCCTGAAGGTACCCGAGGCTCCCCTTCCTGATCATTCCGAACCAAATTCCACCAGGCAGATAGACCCACGAACTTTACCAAGCTTCACTCTGACTCCTTAACTCATCAGAAGCCTGTCGAGAACTGGAAGTGCTGATTATTTACCTAGGGAGTCTGGAAAGTATTAAGTTGTTTTAAAACTGAGGTCAGCTAAATTATTTGTAGCCATCAGTGTAACCTAAGTGTTAAATGCAGGATGTGTTAGAAAAACATGCCTCAGAATTCTAAACTATACTAGCGCATCTAGAACAACTGAAATAAAGAGCAACCAGCAAACAAACAAGACTTTGTCTTTCAATCCAACAAAATCTTTTCAATTCCATCATGCATTGTACAGAATGTGTTAAGGGAGAGGAACTCCTTAGGGAGTAGGTCACTTCTAGATAGGGACATTTCACAGATTTATTTTCACTTTCACAATCACAACTGATTTCCTAGAGCTGAGCAGGAAAAAAAAAAATTAAAAAGCACAGCACAGCACAGCACGATGCCAAAGAAAATAAATAAAAACGAAAACAGGAGCCAGGGATGGGCAGAGAAACACCACAAAAGCGATGTGTCTTCTTACCTTATCTTGGGACTATTTTAAACGTATTTTAGAAAAAAGGAGAACCAGGAGAAACAGAATGCAAAATATCAGACAGGGGAGAAGAAAGAAAAAAAACATGTTATGGTTGAATGAATCACACGCTGAATGTGACCCTTTCATGTGCCACACTCACAATAACTGACATGATAATATTCTAACGATGTGCCTTACAGTCTGTGAAAGATATTTGCCTCTGAGCATACATGAGTTGCCAACATGAGAGAGATGACTTACATATAATAGCAACAAATAATGGTGCATTCAAAATTAGAAATGAGAAAGCTGTAAAATTATCTAACAATCTAAAAGAGGCAATACTCAGGTTTAACATGTCACTAGATACCAGCTTCTAGAATTTTCTACAAATGACAGATGTGCAGAATTGTAAGGGAAAGAAGGCAGCTAACTGTGGGATTACAAAAGCTACAGAATTCTAAACAAGATGATCTTAAGATCCTAGAAGTATCCATATGATTTCAATTATAATTTGCTATTATTTGTGATTACCTGAAATGGTTCACATTTTTAAAGTTTTTTTTCCCCTCTCTCTTCTTGTGATACCTGCTCCAATCATATTTGAAGGCCTTTTAGGAAGTGTACTTATAAAGAAAAAGTTCTAGTAGGCTATTGAGATTCAGAATTCTATTTTTAAAAGACAAACTGAAAGAAAAGTCAACATAGTATCTAAGCTGGTACCACAAACCACACTGGGAACAGACCCCTGGGTTTACCTTGTGGTAAGTGCCATTTACTACTAGACAATGAAACTTTTTTTTACAACAGATCCTTAAACTATAGGAAAATGTCCTAGGGGCTCTGGCTTAGGAGGTTTAATTATTAGCTTTAAAATAACTTGACTGTCAGCAAACACACCAGGAAAAAAGAAGTCAGCAGAGACACAGAGGGTCCTGTTTCCTTCACACAGCCTAAGAAACTTGTGAGTCGAGTTCTCCATACACAAACGTTCAACAGTAAGGTTTGAATTTACCACCGGTCCCACCTGCGACTTTTGATAAGTGCCTGGTACACTACTACCAGGCCCTTTGCCAACAAACTAATTAAACAACTTCATGAGAGACAGTGTGTGCATGGTAGATAGTTTTGTTTTGTTTTTTTTGTTTTGTTGTCTTTTTTGAGATAGGGTCTCTCTGCAGCGCAGGTGTCCTGGAACTCACTATGTAGACCAGGCCGGCCTCGAACTCACAAAGATCCACCTGCCTCTGCCTCCCACGTGCTGGGATTAAAGGCGTGCGCCACCACGCCTGGTGGTAGTTTTAATAGAGTATTTTTCTAAAGGATGTGGTCTTTCAAGTATCGACTATAAATTAATTCTTTCAATAGCAGAGAAAGAACAGAAAATAATCCACACACATTCCTTACTTATTGGCAATTAGAATTTTCTTCCAGTGTGGAGCAAACTTTAATTTTGAAAAGTGGGACACAGACTGGTTGTCCCCAGTGAGCTCATGGTACTGTGCTTGTGTGGGTGAAAGAGCAAATAATTAACATGTTCTATCACGTGAAACTAAGGACTGAAAAACCTCAAGAGAAAATAGCAGAGCATGTATGTTTAAGTCAAGAACATTCCATGAAATTCACATTGCTTTCAAAGAGCACATTCTAGACTCATGCAAAAGATGGAAATGATGTTGGCTCATGAGCGGTCACGGCTGTAAGTGACCTCTGAAAGCAAATACCTGGCAGAGCGGGCACCAAGACTGAAGCCCACGTAGCCCTCCGCAGGCAGCGAATCATCGCCCAGTTCCTTAAGGTCCTGTGGCCCCAGATACTTGTCAGTGTCCCCTGTGATGGCATCTTCACCTGCAGATGGAGAACACATGTCACAGTCAGAAGCTCTCCCTCTCGGATGCCCAGCAGTCACGGAGAAAACCACTGCTCCTCAGCCAACTACATGATAACGGTCCCCTGTGCCCTGGGCAGCTCTGTGACTGCCACACAGAAGGAAAAAGTTTTGGAAGAGCTTAGTACATCATTTCAGGGGCAAGCTGAAGTATCACACGGGGCGCTAGTGTGGAGGACCCGTGTGGAAACCTGACCTCTGCCCCCCGCCTGGTACAGTGGGTGAGTTCTTCCTACTGCATCCATGATGAGGGCAGTTTGTTTGAATGGACACAGACTGCAAAAAAGACCTGTCTTCATGACTGTTCTTAGCCGGGCGGGGTGGCGCATGCCTTTAATCCCAGCACTCCAGAGGCAGAGGCAGACAGATCTCTGAGTTCAAGGCCAGCCTGGTGTACATAGTGAGTTCTGGGACAGCTGGGGCTACAGGGAGACCCTGTCTCAAAAAGACCAAAAAAAGTTTATTTATTTAATTAAACCTTTATTTGTTTCTTTATCTATTTGTGTGTGCGCATACTACAGTGCACATGGAGCTCAGAGGATAACCTGTGGAGATTCAACCTCTCCTTCCACTAGGCGGGTTCCAGAGATCAAACTCAGGTCTTGAGACTTGGAAAGGGCTTTACCATCAGAGCCATCTCATATGCCTGAAAAGAGACTTTTTTTTTTCCCCCAAACCCGTTTCCTCGCAAGATTTCAGTATGTGTCTTATCTACTGATAGTAGCAAGTTATTGATAGTTCTAACTGCTCACAGGGGAGATCCTGAAACACATTAATTCTGAGCTGTTCCCAAACCAATCAGATTAACAAGTCAGCCCAGCTGTTCACCCTTCCTGAAGTCTACTTGCAAAACGCCTGTGTCTTCATCAGAGATGAGATGGGGGCTCCAGCCTTTGGAAAGGGGCGCCACAGGACCCTTCTTTAGCTGTCCACACAAAGAGTTAAACCGTGTAAACTACTTTTACTAGCTGCATACGCCTAACATGACCTCACACGGAAAACCACATTCTAAGAGCAACGGGACAGGTTTTTCAAATGTCTTTTGCCCTCTGGGATGTTTCCCGTCCTTCCCAAAGCCTAGCACTGGCGGTGGAAAGTTCCTTCCACAGAGTCAAACTGTTTCTTCTCAAAGTTACTTTTATTCCCTTTCTGGACACAGACTGGCGAGCTGAAAGAGATTTTTAAATGTGTATTATGTCAGGTTCTCTCAGAGGAAAGAGACTGACCCGTCGGCCGCTGTAGTCTCCCTTTCCTCCATCCGGCTCCACTTAGAGTTTCCATTCATTTAAACGCATGAAACCACAGGAGCTCAACTTTAAAGCAACCAATCAAGTCTAAAAATACACTGCTCACTACTGTTTCTGCAAACGTAAAAACGAAACAGAACTACTTTGCACAGCTACCAGGTACAATAAGATTATTATTCTAAGTATTTACAGCTGGCCTATTTGCAGATTTACTCCATGGTAAACAAAACCAGCACACGCCAAGGACGAGTTAAAGATCTTACTTTGTCGTAAAGCCATCTCCACCACGCGGGCCTGAGAACTTTCCTGAGGCTTCCAAGAATTCCTGAAGCAGGGATTTAGAGGAACCGTCCACACCAGCCCCAGCAAACCCCTCCCCGGGTCGACCGCTCTCCTCTTCACCAGGGCCACAGGGTTCGCCTCAGCATCTGCGCCTCCTCATGAGGAACTTCACATCTTTCCTCACGCTTTAGACTTCGAAGATTTTCAAAAATTTCAGACCAAAGCATTAGAAAAATGTTATCTGGCAACACTTAATTGAGACGGATGGAATGTCCTTTTGATCACTCCGCAGACATCCTTTGAACTAAGTGTCTTCTGATTGGGTTAGGGACTGCTCTGGCAAGCCCGCAGCAGGACCCAGGGCCACATAAATGCAAGCCCAGGAGTTATTTGTATGTAAATATGAGGACAGCCTGGGTGTAGACTTTCAGTAATTTGATACCAGCGCTGGCCCCATTGGGTAACTGAGACCCTCACAAGTGGAGAGAGCTAGGGCCCAGTGCATAATCGGGAGGCAACTCCTCAAATATGAATGAAGAAACAGCTCAGCCAGGTAGAGGAAAAACAAACACTGTTAGGGAACAAAGAATTGGCCAGGCTGGGAGTGGCTGGGAGCCGAGGCAAACTTTCAACTTTGCTCTCAGCTGGGAACACCAGGAGCCTCGTTATTTATGGTCCCTGTCAGGTGGAAGAAGGGGAGGAGAGAGAGGGCGGGCCTGTCCTTGGGTGGAGGTTGGGAAACCGGGGCCAGGGAGCAGCTGGGACATGAGATTGGGAACACACACACCACGGAGACACAGATCAACACACACATACCACGGAGACACAGATCAACAGACCAAAACACACACACACACACACACACACACACACACACACACACAGAGGGAGGGGAGAGAGAGACAGAGAAAGAGACTGAGGGAGGGAGGGAGAGGGAGAGAGGGGGGAGGGGGAGAGAGAGAGGGGAGAGAGAGAGACACGGAGTGAGGGAAAGCAACAGGCATTCTGCTCAATTTGGGGCTTTGGGTGGGAGTTTCTCCGCTCTCAAATATGTTCACTCCTGAGGGGTCCCAGGAAAGTATGACAAGCCCAGGGGGTGTGGCAGTGCCTGGAGGGGTAGAGGCAGGGCCCAGGAGGTGCCACTGACATTTTACTGTTCCAAGTTCTCCCTTCTGTAACTAAGCCCCACACTTCTACAACTTGCTCTCACGTCAGCAGTGGGAGTAGCAAGCCTCTGCACTCCACTGGGGTACACCCCAGGGGCCAGTCCTTTGTATCCCCATAGCTGGATAATTAGGCTGAGAAGTAAGGGCATGTGAAACTGAAGGCAGCCGGCTACCACATCCTTTTAGTTGATGTTTGTGGTTTACATTTATTCTTTGAGAACTTCATAATGTATGCAGTGTGGTATGATGATATCCACACCACCATTTCCCTCATATCCCCCAGCACAACCCTCCCTCTCCCTACCCTCCCTCTCCCCGCCTCATTCCCTCTTCTGTTTAACAGAGGCCAGTTAGTGCTGTCCATACGTCTGCGCATGGGTGTCAAGCCCCACCCCAAGAGAAAAGTGACTTTCCTCCCCCAGCAGCCATCAACTACCAATAGTTTCTCATTTAGGGATGACGCCTTGTGAGTCCCTCCCATTCCGGGTTTGGCCTCTTGGTGTGGTACAATCATCAGTGAGGGAGGTGGGAACAAATCTGTTCTCCCTGATTAGTGCGGGAGGGATGAATGAATGACTCATCTAATGTTGCGATGGTCTGTTACGTGGTGTTTTAATCAGCTCAGTCTCACTGTTACCGACTGTGTAACCATAGAAGTAAAAGCCATTTATAGTGTCCACATTCTGAGAACTGTTCCCAATTAGGAAGATTCCCCAGCCCCAGGAGGAATGGGAAAAGAAGTCAGTGTTCAGGCAGGGAAAGCCAAATGCTAATGTGCTTTTTCACAATCTGTTTGGCAAAGCCTTTTACTCAAACTTTCCAATGAGTACTTGGGATGCAGGGCGCCCTCCCTGAAGGGTTTGGCCAGCCTCAACTGTGGTCACCTATCCACAACTCTGGCCACCTACCCATACCATCCTGACCACCTGTCAGAGTTATTTCAGTCCGTAGAGTTCCTTAACCTCCCAGACTCTGAACCTATGCAGGGTGTACTTTCTTCCCCACCGACTAATCTTTCCCTCTTTGTCTCTTAGAAGCTCTCCCACCTTCCATCGACCATCTCAGATGGACGTTCCTCCTGTGACAGCCCTAGGCAGGTGTATTACCACTAAAGCCTCTCTCATGGCCTGGTGGGATCTTTTGGACTAACCGCTGTCTTTTTCCTGGGCCATGCATATTGAAGTGCCCGTAAAGAGTTTTTGGAATTAAATAATAAATTAAATAAAGAGGCTAGTTGCTTTACTTGTTTTTGAAATCTGCATGCTACAGTGATACCGTATTTCTCCAGGATTAAGCTTGATGACAGGCATATAGTAAAGTTTCAAAGAAATCAGGTTTCTATTTTCTATTTTTTAAAAAAGATGTATTTAATTTTATGTGTCTGAGTGTTTTTCCTACATATATGTAAGTTCATGGTTGTGCAATGCCTGAGGAGACCAGAAGAGGGCATCAGATCCCCTGGAACTAGAGTTAAGGACATTTGTTAGCTGCCATATAGGTGCTGGGAACCAAACCTGGGTCCTCTGCAAGAGCAGCCAGTGCTCTTAATCACTGAGCCATCTCTCCAGCCCCAAGTTTCTTAGATTTCAGAATAGTCACCATGAAACCAAAGAAGCTGTGTGGGAAGGGAGGGAGGGAGGGAGCTGTGGATATATCTGGTCAAAGATGAAGTAAGGGGCTAGGAAGATGACTCAGCAGTTAAGAGTGCTCACTGCTCTTGCAAATGACCCGGGTTTAGTTCCCAGCACCCACACGGGCAGTGCACAACCACCTGTAACTTCAGATTCAGGCGATCTTATGCCTCTGACCTCCTTGGGCACCTACATGCACATGCGCACACGCACACATTCATATACATAATTAAAAATAAAAATAAGTAGTTTGTTTTCAAAAAGATTCATTAAAATTCACTGACCTGGATGACAGTAAGCATGTCCTTACCATTTTAACACAGTATGAAGATATTTGGCTCAGTGGTTAACTTGCAGAGGACCTGGGTTAATTCCCAGTACCCACGTGGCAGCTAAATTCACTGCCTTTTTCTGACCTCCGAGGGCATTGCACAACATGGGTGCACTTACACACACGCAAATAATACACTCATATACATAAAACAAAAAGGAAAGAAAAGAAGAAATCTGGCAAGGGTTATCAGAGGGGAGCAGACAGGAGGGGGTCTAAACATGATCAAAGTATATTGTTTTAAAATTTGCAAAAATTCAATAAAATATTGTGAAAAATATGGAATCTGGTGGTACATGCCTT